CTGCTCAGAACAGAGAACTGCTTCCAGAAACTGAACTGATTCCTTATTTTGAACAGCATCATGACTCTCAAGACTCCAGAGTTTTGCTAATTAGGGAATCTCTTTTCCTGACTCTCTTCAGTGTCAGGAACTGGTTCAAAATAAGGAATCAGTTCTTGTCATGAACTGGTTCAACATGTAGACTGTTCAGAAACTTGATTCTCTTAAAATTAGGAATCAGTTGAGATTACTTATGATGACGTAGTTCCTGATACTAAATGATTCCTTATTTTGAACCAGGTCCTGACTTTGAACTGATTCCTTGAACTGATTCCTGATGTAGAACAGATTCCTTAGATTATTATTATTTATTAATAACATTAATTCATTTTATTTTTTTACGTCTGATTCAGTTTCAGTCCGGTACCTGATGTTTTTTATATTTTTAAACATCTAAACTCTGACCTACAAAACATTTACTAAGACAATTTGGATGTTTTGTTTTTTGTTGTTTTTTTTTTAGCTTGATGTGTTAAAAAACTGAACATTAACAGTTGAACTTATCAACAAATGTTTCCAAAACAGCTGTTGACTACAATCTTGGTAGATATCAACAAGTAGATAATATGTGTAAGCTAGAAAATAATCAGAAACAGTCATGCTTTAGTTGAAAGTGAAAAATGATTCAGCATGAAGTCAGAAACGTGACATTTGTGTCATTTATCTTCACCTTTCTTTAAACTGTTCAGTCAGGGCGCCCTCTGCTGGACGCCTTGGGAATCATCTCCGGTTTAGACTTAAACAAACCAGATTTACAAAACTTTAAATAAACATGCTAACAGCACCGAGGCCAGAGTTTCACCTGAAACCTAAAGAAAGCTGTTTTTAAGTAAAAACTGTAACAATATGTCATATTTAACAGGTTTAGCAGAACTAACCAGTGTTTTTGTGTCGTTGCAGGTGAAGAACTGGGTGAAAGAGCTGAGAAAAATGTTGGGAAACGAGATTTGTTTATGTATAGTAGGTGAGTTAACAACGTTACTACAAAAATTAAAAGAACATTTATCTATAGGGAACTTCAGTATTTACCATCAGAAATATCCATGAACACAAATCAGTCTCAGTGATTTTCTTCGGTTTTGTGTTTATTGAGTTTATTTCATCACTAATTGTTATTCAGGTGAGAAAAGAAACAAAGAAGTTATCTAAAAAGGAGGAAGAAAGTGTCAGTTTCATTTTCTGGCTCCATCATTGGGATTTCAAGCCAAACAGAAACTTTGGGTTTTTGTCATGACGACCGCAGCTCTGGCTTTGCGAGGGACGGAAACGTTTTCCAGCGTTTTAACTGGGTTAAATTGTGGCCGTCATGTATTCGGACCAGATCAAATCTGCGGTTTGGAAACGGGATTCAGTTTTCAACATTTAATAATTTTTTTATTTTCAAGCTCTAATTTTTGTCGTTTAAACCAGACTTTTGTTGGTTTTTGTCTAAAATTTCTATTTTTATAAAACTAGAACTTCTCTGACATTTTGCAAAGACATAAACATGTTATTTCTGCGCCTATCGAGCAAAAAAATTTTGCTGGACAATAAATTGTCCCAATAATCATTGCAATAAATGAAAATATTGTTTGTATTTCAACTGACATATTAATAATGCAAGTTTTTCCCTTTAAAGACAAATTAACTTTAATTCAGTAAAGAACAGACGACAACCAAAAACAATAAATGAAATGGAAATAAAGAATACACAAACCGAAAAATGAATAAAATGGATTATGTCAACAAAATGATCAGACTGAAGAATTTTTGCCATCAAGATTTTTTCTCCCTAATAGAAAAATAATAAATTATTGAAATGGAAATGAATGATTTCATTTTAATTTATCATGTGATTAATTGTTTTTTTACTTGCTGCTGCAGTGTTTTAACTTGTTTGTGTCTCTGCAGGTAATAAAATAGATTTGGACAAAGACAGACACGTCTCAGTGGAAGACGCTGAGAGGTGAGAGAACTGGAGGAAATCAGACGCTTTCCCCGCCTCAGGTGACAGATGGCGCCAACGAGACTCCTCCGCTGACCTCTGACCTCTTGTTTCTGTTGCAGCTATGCAGAGTCAGTGGGAGCCAAACACTACCACACATCAGCCAAGCTAAATAAAGGCATAGAGGAGCTGTTCCTGGATCTGTGTAAACGTGAGTCTGAACCACAATCTGACGTTTCATTTATTTATCGAGTTCAAACAAGTATTCAAAAACAAGAAAATAAGTAATCAGTGGGACAAGACTGATTACAAAATAATTGTCTTACACACAAACACACACACACACACGCACACACACACACTGCCTGCAGACATGAAACCAACACACACATTTATCCATTTATGTTTGTTTCAGAATCAAAATTTAAATGTACAAGAAAGCAAAAAAAAAGAATTAAAAAAAATAGCAACTGTCATACACTGTGCAAATACATAAATAAAATTTTTAATATATATTTTTTTAAAGGTTAAAATTTATAATGAAAAAAATTATAATTTAAAGAAAAGAAAAATCAATTTTTTTATTAAAAATTTAATAGTTAATTGAACATACATTTTTTAATGAATAGTTTAATCCAAAAATAAAATATAATATCCCAAAGTTTTATCTTTGGTGTATTGATAAAATCGATTTATAGTCAAACTCCAGCTGAAAACTTTGCAGGTCAAATTTTCACATTTTTTTCCTGTTTTTCCATCAGGCATGATGGAGACAGCTCAGGCAGAGGAGAGAGCGAAGGGCAACGGAGCCAGCCAATCAGCATCAAACAGGCGGGGCGTACAGATAGTCGACGACGAGCCACAGGCCACGCCGGCCGGAGGATGCTGCTCCTCTGGCTAACACACACACACTCACACACACTCACACACACTGCCTGCAGATATGAAACCAACACACACATTTATCCGTCTGCCATCCAGTTCGTCCGCTTGAAAATAAACTCCGCCTCTGCTGCTGAGGATCATGGGAAATCATATTTAAGTTCTTGGTCTGTGTTCGCTTCAGAATAAAATTTATCCAAGTGTGCTTCTGTCGCACGTTGATCTCTGTAACCCGTCTCTCTCTGTGTGATATTAAACATGGCGGCTTCTGATTTCTTTTTTTGTTTGGGAGTGAAGCGGTTGTGTCTTTATTAACCTTCAGTGGTGCGACGGCTCCACCTGCTGGACGGAGGTGGCAGAGTTTTCTTTTTATCGGTTTGTTGGCTGGAAAACCTCAGAAACGCATTCAAGGTTGAAGCAGCGTCTCTGACGCAAGGAGCTACTGAGCATGCTCAGAAAAACTGCAAAAATAAAACAGCTGGATTTCTTCACATAACAAGAAAGAAAAAGCTCCAAACTTGTCCTGTAATCAAACTAGAAATGGTCAGTAAAAACGTTTCTAAGGGCTCCAGTTAGAGCTGCACTCATCTAAATAAATCTATGTTTAATCCGGAAGTGAACTGGAAACTTAAGGCCAGGATTTATTGCTTATTAAATTTCATACACTCTAAAAAACTGATTTATACTCTCATGTTGCTCCTCTGTTCTGATTTGTAACTTTAAAAGATGTGACAGAAAATCAAACATAGAGGGAAATAATGATCAGTTGTCAGATATTTTAATGATTGATAAAAAATGTAGACAAAAGTATTCCATCTCCAGCTACATATGTTTGCATTTTTCTTGCATCTGTCTGATTTATTTTGTGTAACTAAAAGTTTACGAAATAAAACCTTAAATTTTTTTTTCTGTCAAAATCAGATCTTCAGCTTTTATGTTCATATTCTTCCCTAAAATTACGTCTTATTTCTCCAAGATTCAAAATATTTTCCACATTTAAACAGAAATATGAACAACGACGACGTGTTGTTAATGTGCCATTATTATTATTAATATTACTATTATTATTATTACTGATTATTGAAGGAATTTCCCTCGCTTGGCTCTGCTTCTCTTCATCACTTTGGATTTTCCTTTTCTCCCTGAACAGAGAAGTTAAATTGTGCATGTTTGATTCCTGTAAACAGCTTTGTTTGTCTCACTTTTAAACTAAATAAAATAAGTTATTTTACAGTGATGGGAATCTGAGTGTTTGTGCTTCAAAAAGTCCTGAATACAAATTAAAGCTAAAACCAGTTTGAGTTGATCTGAGCAGAAAATGATGAGCCTCAGTTGTCTACTTCCTGTCTAAGGGAGGAGCAGAAATCATGTGTTTATTCCCAATGTGTTTGTCAGCAGTACAAAGTGCTTTGCATCATAAAACAGTTATGAAATGTAGTAAATGTTACATTTTGCCAAGTGGCATCAAAATAGTCAAGCAATTATTCATCAGATATGTAGATCAATGTTCTAGTTATTATAAATTAAATGCAACTGTAAGCACTCGGGGTTTTTACTCGTGATTTAAAGTCAGGTCAGATTATTGGAGAAGCAATATTCTCGTAAAGAGAACTTGGCTAAAGAAAAAATACTTGTAAGCAGCATTTTCTATTAAGAGAAAGATAAATTTCTCAGTGGAAATCTTAAAAAGTGCAGAAAGTGTTCCTCTGTATCAGCTGAAAACCACATAAATTATTCCAATGGAACTAAGTTGGGCGTATTTAGTTACATTTACTGTTTTACATTTACTTTAGTAACCTTTGGGGGGAAAAAAGACATTTAGAAGTATTTCTACTCTACTCATTTGAAGTAGTTCTACTCTTAATTTCACTCTTAACTTTTTAAATAACTATTTTAAAACACTTTACTGTATTTGTTTTTGTTTGGGTTTTTTTTTTGCTTTCCAGGCCTGAAAATGGTGCAAGAAAGAAATAACTTCTCCTTTTAAACTGTCCTGGCTTCATTTTGTTGCTTCCCGACACTCGCAACTCATCATGTCGGGAATTTTCCACTCTTTTTTCCGGAGAACTTCTTTCGCTTCTGCAGCTCCCGGAAGTGACCATGTTAATCGATAACCGGAAGCCCCGCCCCTCCGTATATAAACCAAGTCCAGACTTGTTGCTGCCGTCTTTGTAATCGCTGTGACTCGGTTGCGGTTCTCCAGAACTCGAAGTTCGCAGTTAAGGAAAGTTCCGTCTCGGTGCCGTTTGGATTCGCAGCCATGGCCCAGATAAACAGTTGCCTCAAGCGGACCTTCATCGGGTTCAACTTGTTTTTCGCGGTGAGTTTTAAGAAGATCCAGAACCTTTCAGAATTTAAAGTGCGTAGTTAAAGCTTCAGCGCCATTTAGTCCAGTTGATCAAAAACCTAGTTTAACCGTTTATAAACGGTCATATTTAGAGCTTGTGGCTAAGTGTATGTGATTCTAATAATTTATAAATAAAATAATATTTGGTCCTCTTAATTTATTCATGGCTGAAGTTTCAGTTTCGTATATAAATTAGGACCTTGATTAGGTTCTGGTTCGAGCTGATCCACAATGTATTATCTGATTATTGTTCACTGACTCCAGATTCGTTTTATAGTTTGTAATTTGTTGCTGCTTTTTAAAAAATTACAGTTGAAAGTTTTTGTCACTTTTTGTCAGTTTTGTGAAAGCAAAATTTTAACTGTTAATATTGCTTCTAAAATTAATTTATCACTAAATCTTGTGAAACAATGATGATGAAAAGCAGAAGCTGCTCAAAAAGAACTAAAGATGTTAAACTACACTGTAAAAATGCTTTGAGTAGATGAAAGTTTTTATAAATGAAACCTGTAGAATCACCCATTTCTGTATTGCATTATTATTTTTCAGTAAGACAAATAGTTGGTTGTCTGCCATAAACTATTTGAATGCATTTGCCCTTTTTTGTTTTCATAAAACCTGCAGATCACTTCTTTACTGTAAAATATTTCAACTGGATTTTGTTTCTTTTTATGTTTTGTAATAAAGCTGCTCAATTCTAGTCAATTCTTTAAAAAAAAGCATGAAATAAATTAACTTTAATTTTTAAACTTTCCCATCTATTACATAAAACAACCGAGCATTGCATGTGTTTTAATTCCACTTCCTCCTGAGATAATTTGTGCAAGCAATACATGTTTTGTAATTGCTTGCAAAAGTGGTTTTTGTACCTGTTTACTCTTTAAATCTACAGAAGTTACTTCTTTCTGTTTTATGTTTGTTAATAAAACTTTCTGGTTTTCTCTGCACTCGGGTTGCAAACTGACACCAATGTTTACTCAAGGCAGGACATATGCAGGCGTCTGCCGCACACTTCAGTTTTGCGGTTAAACCTGCTTTTCTTGTTTGTTCCGGGAAATAGTTACATGCTTTGTAAGGTAAGCTATAGAGTTTCAGGTTGAATATTACAAAGCATTTTAGTTTCTAAGCTAACACAAATCAACTCCAAGTTAAAAAAAGAAGAAAAGAGCCGCCTTTATAGTGATATTCAGCTTGTTTATTTGTATTTGGCAGCTTAAGAAGGATTTTGAAGTGAGAGGTGGGGCAGATGGTTTTATGAGGGAATAAGTTTGATCCAGAGAAAATTATGAAAGTGGTTAATCAATTTCTATGTGTCATTTTTTGTTATCACACCACAAATTTAAATATGTTATTATTTTTAAATCCAAGTCATGAGAAGTTTATTAGTTTTTTGGCATCTACAGCGTCTCGGATCATCTCCAGTTATCAATATGATTGATAAACCCGGAGGAAAATGTCCCACACTGACTCCAGGTCATTAAAGGAACAGTTTGTGGTCTGAAAAATTATCATCTAAAAGTAATTACAACTGGTTATTTCTAAAGCTATTTTCCATCCTGGCTTCAATACTTAGATTACCTTTGTTCTGTAAAAATCTTTATTCTGCTTAGGAAATTTCAGCTTTAGGTCATATTATAAACTGATTTTATGTAGCTTTCACACTAAAACTGAATCTGTGGTTCAGAGTATTAAGATGCATATTTGTCTAAAATTAATTAAATGTTTCTCCTAGCTTGTCGGAGCAATCATCCTCTGCCTGGCTGTGGTCTCCCAAGTCCTCACTAGCAATGAAGATGACGAAGTAAGTGCTCACACTTTGTTTATTTAGCTGGAAAAACTCAATTTGAGCTAAAAATCTAAACATATAACTGCAGATGGGGAACCGGACCACTGGGCTCATCTGCCTGTACATCATGGGGACGGTCACCACGCTGCTCGGCCTGCTGGGAGCCTACGGCGCTTACAAGGAGCACAAGATCTCCCTGATTGTGGTGAGTGGATTTCCAGATGAAACGGGGCGTTGCAAGTTTGGAGTTTCCAGTGATCTCATCTGAGATCTTGCATCACGCAGAGACCTTTATTTCGAAACAGAGGTCATGTGTTTGTGTGACACGTTTTTACTGAAATCATTTGTTCAATCTGTGTAAGTTAGCTTCATAACTTTAAAATCACCAGGATGAATTCATTTGGTTCTCAGGTCAGGTGTTGTTGTGTAATTCTGGTTTGAATTGTCTGTTTTCCTCTCCAGTTCCTGATCTGCATGGTCATCGGCTCTCTGTTCATGCTCCGATCAGGAATCCCAACAGCCATTCTTCGTCCTCAGGTAAAATCCCTTCTCCTCCAGCTGGAGCTCCTCACTGGATCGTCACTTTGGTGGAAATAACATTTATGATTTTCGCTCTAGTGTTAGCATAGCTAACTTTTTATTCCGTCATGAAATAGAGGAAGTTGGAACAAGTTTTTTTTAATTTTGCATTTTTGTCAACTTAAAACTTTTAGCCCAGTTAGCTTCTTTTTTAGCTTCTGGTGATATTGTGTAGTTGAGGTGCTTTAGCATTAGCATCACTAACTTTTTAGTTTGTAATCCCCACCACTGTGTATTCACAATAAAAAATCTAATTTGATTTTATTTAGGTTGAGAAGTGCTTAAATTGTTACTTTCAGATGTATTTTAATTAGAACAATGTTACGCAATGTTGCCATGTGATTTTGAAGAGTCACATTGTCAAGACTTTTCTATTATAAATTTGTGTTTGATTGAGCTGCATTGTGTTGTTTCTACCTCTGAATGAATCTCCTCTGGTTTGCAGGTGCAGGCAGTCCTGGAGGAAAAGTTCAGGGAGATGCTGCCTCTCAACAGGGCATCGATCCAAGAGAAGCACGTGGTTGACAGCCTGCAGACTCATGTGAGACTCATTCCTCTTTCACATAGAAGAACTAAAAGGATTTAAGATATTTTAATGGAAAGGTTAGGAAGGAAGTGGTTCAAAAACAAGCTGCAGAGACATCAGACACATTCAAACTTTTTTGTGTAGTTAAATGTTGACATTGGTCTCTTTTCTTATTTCTGAGTAATTCTGAAACCCACCAGAAAACCACGCTACACATCAAACATCAAAGATTTCACCTGTTTAAAAAAATTCCAGAAAACTTACGAGAATTACTTGCTTCTGTCTCAGTCACCTCCTGTTCCTTAAGCCAACCGTTCAGGCTTAACGGTTATGAGACAGAATGTTCGCCTGTTGTTCACCGGTCAGACGTTATAAAACTTTGTTCTACCGTTTTGCTTTCTGTTTTCCTAACGTGTGATTCAGAGTTCAGTCACACCCAGATTCATTTCAACTGAACAGAAACCAAAACCATAAGTGTTTATGGTCTGTTTAACTCTCTCTACTTAAGAGAGAGAGAAAAAAAAGTGTTTTCTGAAGCTTACTTCATTTGCATTTAATTAATTTCATGCCAATCTTGGCAAAAAGTAAATTTTTTTAGTTGAGCCATAAAAATCCAACTTTGTGGAACCAAAAATTTCACCAAAAAAATGACAAAAATATAGTAATTATTTTTTGTCATTGTGACAGTGTACAGACATTAAGTTTATGATAAATAATTTTTAGTAGTAAAAAATATTCTCTTTATTTTCCATCCATCCATTTTCCGGTCACCCTTCTCCCTAACGGGGTCGGGAGGTGCTGGTGCCTCTCCAGCTGCGTTCCGGGCAAGAGGCGGGGTCACCCTGGACAGGTCGCCAGTCTGTCGCAGTTCTCTTTGTTTTAAGATGTAAAAATAGAAACAAATGATGTTTTTTGTAAAACATGAGAACAAATTTTCTTTGGATATTTTTCAAAAATGATGAGCAGACTTTTGTGAAAAAAGTTTGTGTCTAAAAAAGTTTTTTGTTTGGACTGAGGCAAGCATGGCTCTTTAAATTATGAATCATTAAATTGAATAATTAAATTTTTTCTCTATTTTGCTCAGCAGATTATGTTTATCTATATAGACATGCGGCAAATAGGACTCAAGGCCTCCATACGTGGGTGGCATCATCATGTCGGTGTGTGCCACCACCCCACGCACCGACATCGATACATTTAACCAAAGCCTGAAGGTTCCACAGTCAGGCATTCACTCAAAGTACTTTGACATACTTTCTGCAGAAATGTTTTTTATCCTCCTGTGAGCAAACTCTGAACCATTAGTTGATGTGAAACTAACAAAAGCTACAGTCGGCTCAATAGGAACTGAAGACATCCTGCTGATATGCATTAATTAAGTGATTATTATTGGTTCAAGCAGCTCGGCCAATGGCAGTCTGACTTTCATCAGATGAGTGTACAAAGGCAAGTTTAGAAGAAACGTTTGCAGAAACTGATAAAGAAAATGGATGCTGCTGTGCATCCAGGAAGCCTCCATTTTAGCTTTTGTAGATGCTAATCTGCTGCTCCCATTTTTAAAAACAAGACTTTGTTGCCACGGTTACACTTCAAACTTGCCCAAAAGTTACAAAAAACTAAATTAAAAAAAAAGATGCTGGTGGCAGAAAAATGTGTGTTGGTTATAATCTGGATTAATTTAGTAACTGATTATTCTGACCACTAATCAGATAAAGAATTGACACATTTATTTAACCAGTTCAGTTTTTTTTTTTTTTTTACATTATCAGGAATGCATTAAAAGATGCAAATAAAAAAATATTAAATTCCCTTTTTGAATAACCAAATAAACATTTTGTTGCTCAAAATGCTATATGTCAACCCTTTAGTGAATTAGAACAAGGTGGAGAGTTGTTTTTTTTTTTTTTTACAATCAAAGTGTTTTTTATCTTAAATCCAAAAATAGATTTTTATTTTTGCACCGTTTGGGCCGAATTACTGCTTTTATTTTTATAAAATAGCTTTTTTTAAGTTGATGATTAATCAATTACTAAATTAGTTGATGATTATTTCAATTATTGATTAATTGTGATGACTCCAATTAATCGTTTCAGCAATAATCTGTACCATTCCAAAGTTTTTCCAGTTAGTGTGGAGCAACTGCAGTGGGAACCACCTCACATGTCCTGCATGGAGGTGGAGGAATGATGGTTTGTTTTGATGCGCCTTCTTCTTCTGTGGTTTCAGTTGCACTGCTGCGGCCTGTTCAGCTATACAGACTGGAACGAAGACATCCCGTCCTCCTGCAATTGCCCCTCCAACGAGGATGAGGAACCCGAAACGTGCAAGGTGGTCTCTGCCATCAACCGCTATGCTGTGAGTGTCTGCGCTCAGATTTGATCTGATTCACATTTCTATTCGGCCTGGAGCCAACCATGACTTTATGTTTACGTCTCTTCCAGTTTCTGATGGACGGCAGGTCCATCTACAGTAAGGTGAGTAAACTGGAGCTGATTGACCAACCTGAAGGTGAAACGGTCAGATAAAATAACCGCTGATTCTCCTTTCCACCGGCAGCCATGTGCCCCTATCGTGATGTATTACGTCCTGCTGATGGCTGACATTTCACTGGGGGTCGTCTTCACTCTGGCTATTCTGGCTGTAAGTTCACCTTTTGTCTCTTTATGAACAAAAAATACACAAAACATCCTTGTAGGGAGCATTCACACAACCCTGTTTGGTCTGCTTTAATCGAACACTGGTTAGTCCAGAAAGTTTGGTTTGTTTGGGTGTCTGCACTTCCTTAAAAAATCCTCTGGGGGCAGTGTTATGTATTTTTCAGCACAAATAATTATTACCTTCAGTTGTTTTAGAAATACTGCACATATAAAATTTGATTTTGAAAGCTAATTTCCTAATTTAACACTTTGAAATTGGGGCTCTGTCTCCTTAAGAAGCTCAAGCTCTTTCTGAAGCTCTGCCTTCAGGAAGTCATCACAACATGGCTCCTCTATTAGCACTTTAGCATTTTTACCACCATTGCCCTGAGAAGTAGTTCCTATAATGAGTTCAGCAGTTCCCCCAGTTGTTTGCTAATTGGTGCTGGCTAGTTTGAAGGAGCTGAGTGGAGAAGGAGCTGCTCCTTTAAGGGGGGGATTGGTCCAACCAGGCATTTTGCACACTTGACTTTACTCTGCTCTGGTGTGAATCAAAAAAGTTTGGTTGAAGTAAAATCTGGTACGATTCAAATGAATATATGAACGCCAAGCGAACCGGAGACCGTGCCAAAAGCAGGAAGCGGACTGCAGGTCAGGGCATTCTGGGTACATACTACCAAAGCAAATCCACTAATTTATCGCTAGCAGGAGAAATTACTTGTGTGTTTAGCCAAAAACAAAAGAGAAATCCTCCAACTGCTGAAATCTGATGCCACTCCATTTTTGTTTGGATTTCATGAAAAACTTGCATTCAGTGTCTTCTTTAGAGGTTTTCAAGTTGCTTCCTGTAGTGGTTCTTGCTGCAGCTCCTCCACAGGTGAGGAGGGGAACAGGTTTTTCAAAAAGCTGGAAAATGTAACAAATTTTGCAATTTTTGACTACCAAACCACCATGTGTGAAATCACCCTAAAGGTCATTTTAAATCTCACAAACTACATCTTTACAACATAATCCCTTACAAATAAGTTAAACAATCACAAATGGCTCTTAAGAAAAAAACATTAAACATAGAAGTTTAAGTATCAGATATTGTTTAAACTAAACTGTTTAGAGTTTTTTCTTTCTTCTTCTGAGTCAGCTCATTAATGTAAATAAATAAGCCATTAGAATCTCATCTGAAGGTTAAATTCCTCTCCTGGAGACCAGGAACATAAATAAACCGTCCCGCCTGATAAAATCTGTCTCCTGCCTGCAGTTCCTCCCATGCTGAAGATTTCTGAAATCTTTCACTTTAAAGGAAACATTCAAGATCTATGACGCATCAGGACAGAACAGGTCCTAACAGATCCTTCAGGATTCCTTTTCTAACAGACTGTTCAGTGTTGGTGCCAGATTCACCAGAAGGAACCTAAATGGATTAAACAAGAGTTCATTTGGAGTAAATAAACTCTTAGATGTACATTTAAGGTCAGAAATATTGCCCCCCTGATGAAATCACACACAAATGATGCAAATTTATTATACAAAATTTGCATTTTGCCTGTTTTTGTTTGTGTTCCATTTTGTCTCTACAAATTCTGAGTAAATAAACTCACAAGTGTTGCCCTATGACAAAATCATGCAATATTTCCATGCAAATGACCTCAATAAAAACATTTCATATTTCATCTTCCTCCTCATGTTTTAGGTTCTGGGCATGATTCTGTCCTCCATCATGATCCACCAGCTGCGTCATCCCAACAGAACCCCCGTCGTCCTCAACATTCCCACCATCTTCATTCCAGGACCACCAAAGTACGAGGAGCTGCAAAACGATCTCCCTCCTCCCTACTGAAGGAGCACTGCCACATTTAAGGATGTTTTTCCTCTTCTTTTGCTGTTTCCCTGATTGCTTCCAAAGTGCCTTTCATTCCTCCAACCAGGGAGAAACTCTCCAGAGATTACTCTGCCCCAGCTTTCAAAGTTAGATTTTTAAACCATATTTTACATTTTTTTTTTATTTTTGGTTTTAATTATCTGGGAGAGTTTTAAGAAAAATAAGATATTTACAATCATCTGTTTCTAAATCATCATGCAAAAAATTATTTTAACAAAGTTAGGAGAAAGCCATAAGACATTTTTATCACAATGGAGTTCTTACCTAATTTAGTTTTTGTATATTAAACTTCTAGATATGCAGTTTTGTGTTTGTTTAACCAAAAGCAACTTCCTTGCACATTTAGCGCCTTCTAAAGGAGCTGTTTAAATTTTATTTTTAATAACAAAGCTTAAAAAGGGACAATGAATGTTTACAAACAGAAGGCTAGTTTGTTTCTGATTGTTAGTCGTTTTACTGTAAATGGATTTCTGGTTGGACTGAAAGGGAAATAAAACCATAAAATAAAACAATGTTTGTGGTGTTTAAAATTGTCAGATTATACTAAAGCAATTTGAAGTTCTGAAGCATAAATGGTTGTAAAAGCAAAAAGTTCTCAAAAAAAACACGGAGTCAAAAATTTGCAAGAAAAAAAATCCAACTTTGAAATTAATCTCAAAAATGATTTTTTAGCTTAATCTCAGAAATTTTTGAAAGTTTTAAACTTAAAACTCAAGAATTTCTTTTTATGAGAAAGTTAGATCAAGTATTTATTCTCAACTTTTCAAGTTAAGAATTTTTATTGTTTTTCTAGATTTTTTTTAAAGATTAGTCTAAAAATTTTCTGGCAAAATTATTTACTTTTGGAGATCAGAAATTAAAATTTTTTCTCCAGAAATTTTTTGAAATCTTAATTACAAAATTTTTTCCTTGAAAATTTTCAACATTTAGAGCTAAAAAAATTTATTTTTTTTCTAGCAAATGTATTTTTATTAAAGAAAATTTCAACTTTTCATGTTAAGAACTGTCACTGTTTTTCTAGAAAATTTCTGAGATTGATCTCAAAGCTGAGTTTTGTATTGCATTTTTTTTTACCTTTGAAGTTCAGAAATTCAAATTATTTTTCCTAGAAAAATAATTAGATTAATCTTAAAATTTATGAGTTGTAAGTATTATCAGTGTTAAAGCACTGGATATTCAAATATCACGGAGATATTTGAATATTATTATTTTTGTACACATTTAAATTATTCAAATACCTGATCTGAAGTCTTTTTAATGATATGCATGTTCATGGGGAAAGTTTTCACAGCTGTTTGACCAAAATCCCATGATATCTGTGTGTACACAGGGCAAACTTTTCTGAATGTGACATCCAAATTAGACGTTGGGGTTGTTCTTGTTGGCTTTTCAAATCAGGAACTGGGAAATTACAAATTCTGGTTTAAAATGTTCTCAAACATCCAGAGGAGGAAGCAGCCTGTTTTGGAATTAAAAGATAAATCTGGGTCTGTTTCTTCAACCACCGTATGAGTTATTGCTATTAGATAAACATGTTAAACATCTAAACTACATGCTGATGAGTGCTATTAAAGTTTGGCAAAAATGGTTTTATAACACTAACATTTTTAATAAAAGAATTAAAACAGCTGAAAACCAGTGATTTATTTACTTAAAGCGCCACCTAGTAGACAGAAGACTCAAGAGCCCTAAGAGGCCTTTTCTGAACGAACAATACTGAAAAATATTTAAATATTGTATGTAAAAGCTCAGGTATTATAAAGAAAAACATTGTTGTGGTATGTCATAATCATGAGCTACATTAAACAACTTTGTTCTTGTTGAAATGGGTTTATATACAAACTGTACTCTGTTAAATCTGTTTAAAGTGTTTTATTTGACTAAGCACCAAAATGCCATAGAAACCTACGAGAAACACAATTATCCAAGCACTGTTGGGGTGAAAATTACTCACTCGGGTTTACCTTGTATAAGATGAGAGTCATCCTGACCTCTGCAGGTCAGGATGCTCTGGAACACAGAGGATCCTGACCTACAGAGTTAGTACATGTTGTTTACACCCAAAAACAGAAGTGCAAAAATATTCACCAGGCAGACTGAGAGAACTGACTTCTCCTTATCTGCACTTATAACAGCAACTCGCTCGGACAACGTAAACTTCATTTATCCTTTACTAAAACCATTATTGCTAATTGTTAAAAATAGATATACTTCTAATACACTCCAACTACAATGTTCCCTGAAGGGAAACAAACTTCTGTAGATGGATAAATATTAAACTTCTTCAAGATATTAAAAATGATTTTAGATGTCTGGTTTGCAGTTCTTCCGCATGACTTTCCCAAGTAAAATCTTTAGCTATAACAAACAATAAAATCTTTGGAATATTTAAGCATGCAAAGTTGGTTTTAACCAACATTCATATTGCCCCCATTAATAACTCGTACAACTTTGAAAATTCCAGTTTCTACCCTTATTCTGGTCGCTAAATCTTAGGGTAATTTCTTGGTGTTGCGCCACAGGCAGCCATTTTGTTTTTCTAATTTCGACGACGACAGGAAGAAAACAATATCTATTCTTATAATTATATCTTAGTTTACGGATAAAACTAAAAACTGAAATGTTTTGTTGATTGAAAATGCATGTTTATGAAATATAACGCTTTTAAACAAACAAGTATGTTTTAAAGAGAGGTCAGTGGTAGAATGAAGGAAGCGCGAGCGCGTTTAGCATTAAGCTAGCATAGCTGTAAAGGTAAGTTGAGTTCGAAATTTACATTTTAATTAATTTTTTTGGTGAAAAATGTCTTGCCTGTAAATGAGTGCATGTAAGATTTTTTTTAACATTTAAAACTCAATACATGTTATCGGGCTTATGAAGGGCTAAAGGGTAACCGTTATTGTAATCAAAAATAAGTACTTATTGATTTTCTTTAATGATTAAAATATTTCCAACACCAGAAAATGATGCTGTTATTGAAGATTTCTCCTCCCCTTCCTGCTCTCTCCCCTCTCCCATCGCCAGACCTCAACCTGAGCGTCATCTTTTCTCATTATCTCTCAGACACGGATGGAAATAACCCGTCTCAGTTCGGAGCCGCCTCCGCCTCCACCACCTCAGACCGGCTGTTCCCCCGTCGCTCAGGCCGTTGCAGGACACTGCAGGGCGGGGAACGAGCGGTAGCAGCCCCGGCGGCGGAGCGGCGACGGCTGCTTTCAGCGTAAACAAGCATCTTCTGCTGTCCTTGATGTTCCTTGACAGCGCTAAGAGGAGCTTCAGAGAGGCAATTTGCTTGAATCTGACCCACAGAAAGGCAGCATGAACCGCAGCAGAGGAAGAGGAGAAGGAGGATTTTTCACCATGTTTTTCTCGCTGTGTTTAATTTGGACACAGCTGCTGATCCCAGGTAAGCGTCTGCTGGCTGTTTGCTGCCTCAGACATCAAAAGCACACAGAATCAATCCAACATTTTGCTAAATTAATGTCTTTTGCACAACCTTCTTAAAAATTATTTAAAAAATGCCACCTATATGTAGATCTGACACTAAATCAATCATATATCTGTACAGTTTACTTAAAATGTGCTTTATGATTGGCATTTATTTAAATATTGCAAATAGACTGAATTTGCTGTGTGTAAAAGCAATATAAAAATATTATCAATAATTGTAATATTTGTAAATAAATTGTTTCCCTACTGTATTCATAACATTCAAAATCTAACTGTTTGCGTTGTGTCAATGCAAACACAACATTGACACAACACAATGTTAAAGTGCAGCTTTAAAAGGGGAGAATGAAATGTAGTATTTTTAGCTTGGAGAGATATTTGAGTCAGCTGCAGAAGATGCCAGCATCCCCACTGCATCTTCAGGGGCTGTTCAGTGATGCAGTTCCTGTGTGAACGCCTTAAATATGAATATAGGTCAAAGTAGACCTTCAAACTGAGTCCTTATAAAAACATAATTGACACCGAAAGCAGCTTTTATTTACATGAGTGATGAGAACATTAATATCAAAGGATGCATTAATTCAAATCTAGAAAAACGGAGCTTTATTTTTGGTAGAATCAGTTTTTTTCTTGTAAAAATGAGCTGGTAATAGTTTTAGTCTGTTTGTCATAAATTAGTATTTTTAGGTGAATGAAAAAGAAAAAGAAAATAATACGCAAACCTGATTCTTACAGACATAAAATATCAGTGTTGGTGCCCAAATTGTTGTTTATTTTAGTCAAAATTGACCCAACATTTGGAAAATAAATGGGTCAAAAGATTATCTTAACACAGAATATAATTTACCTTTTGTTTATGTGTTGTGTTTCAGCTGGGTGATAATCTCAAACTTTGGTCACATTTTTTTTGAAGATATGTAGATTTGTTTTAAAACCAATGTGTTGTAGAAGTAGTATATTTAACGAAAATGATCTCATTTGATATTAGTTGAGTAGAATCTTATTTGAAAAGTAAAAAATCATCTGTAAACTTTACTTTGTGTTACACTGAAGAGAATGATGCGCCGGTTAACGAAAATGATCTCATTTGATATTAGTTGAGTAGAATCTTATGTGAAAAGTAAAAAATCATCTGTAAACTTTACTTTGTAAAAACGTTTTGATGTCAGAACTTAACTTTTTTCTGTTTTTAATGGTGGTACACCAGGATATTATAATGAAAGTTTGATTCAACATGTGCAGCTCTATATTAAGTTACAATAAATTTCACATGTTGAATGATTAGATTTATTGCAAGTCAACTAACGGACACTGATTCACTTAAAAAGGTGGAACATTTCCTGAAAATCTAATGCAAAATACAAAAAGTAACTTTTTGACCCAAGAAATCCAGCTTTAAGATGACTTAATTTGTACCAAATGTAGATTATTTTGGTCTGCTTAGGAAGACATTTTGTCCTTTTAGAATGTTGCCAACATATTTAGTTACATATCTCAATTTAAATAAAACAAAACAGATTTATCTAATGAGGTTTATGTTGATGTCAAGTAATGAAAAAGATGAAAAGGAATAGTAATTAAAGTCATCAATCAATGTAATAATTGGGTCTGGATGGTATGACTGAAAAACTGAACACGACGTAATAGCAGTCTATAGTGATAATTAATTGATAAGTTTTAAATATCTAAAATACTACCAAACTAGTGGAGTGACGTTTCCTGTTCCATCCAGTTTTCACTCCGCCATCTTGTTTTTTAATATATTACGAGGTTACAAGGCTGAACCTGAAACTGCTGCTGCACAAGTCACGCAACTGGTTGTTGCTAGGTAACCAAAGAGCGGGTGAGTTAGTTGGTTCCACCAACCTAGCATGTCTTAGTTGGCTAAATCTTTCCCTCTGCCTACATCTCCCAGAATGCTGGATCAAAGTCAAGTGAATATTTACTATTTTAAATATTCAATCAGATGTATTTTTTATTGTTATTGATCGCAAAATATATTAAGTTATTATTCCGGCCTAGTAGGAGTATCAATATCTAATTTAACATGGAGCACTAATTCTTCCTCAGTAGTGTTTTATTCTAACAAATATATAAAAATATATGCATATTTTTAATATTTCATTCATAATGATGTTAAAGTGTCTTAGATTTGAGTTATGAAACCTGCAGAAATTCTGCAAGGTTACTGAAAACCATCTGAAACGCTCAGTCCTTCATTCTCATCTGGATCTTTGAGATAAGTTTGTGTGTTTTTTTTTTGTCAGGTGTTTTCCATCATTGGTTTTGGTCATCTGATGATGACTAATTGTTGCTGTAATTCCCTCCTGTAGGCTCTCATTGTGTCTCTGGTTTTAATCGGGGTCTTCAGGTTTGCTCTGCTTCAGGAAGAAAACAGCTGACATGTTTTATTCTGTGGTACAGTCTTGGTTCTGTCTGGTTATTTCATTTCTGTTGTCTTTATCACAGTGGCTTTGCTTCTGGAACGATTTAGCTGATTAGATGGAGAACATTTGATTAGTCTGTCGTGGTCAGCAGGTCGCTCTGACAGAGAAACTGGGAGCCAAATTCTGGTTCTTGTGATTGATGATTCAGCTGTGAGGCAGCAGCTGTGATGCTAATTACATGAGAGGAGCAGATTGAGCTTCTAGCATTTTCTATACAAAACACTCAAGCAGTCCGCCTGTTCTCTGCATTTGTACTAATATCGGAAAGCAGATGATTTATATCAGCTGTGTGACAATAACAAAAGGAGAAATCCAATATATAATCTCAAAGGAAAAGGAAATGCCTCTCTCCATTTGTCTCGTAATTCACATCCAGCCTGAACAGAGGCATGGTGGTAGCTGTCCAATCAGAGCTCACCTCAGCATCCTGCATAGCAACCAGGACGCTGTCGTCAGGTAGAAAAGAAGTGAGGAGGGGATGGAGAACGCTGAGTCAGGTTCACAGCATCTCAGGAGTTAAATGCAGATTTCAGCTGTTTTTTCAGTCTCAAAAGGTCTGAGACAGAATTTATTTGGCTTTAATGTAAATTCAGACTTTTTGAACCCAAACTATTTAATTCCTGCCCCATCTGTTTAATTTAATTTTTGCTATCCATTAATTTCTGCTTGTCAGGCTTTTACATAATCCAAAAATTGATTTTTAGGAAAGAAAAATCTGCTGTCAGAGGAAATGGGACAATTCGAACAAATGTGAATGGGTCCGTTTGTGTATTATTTAGTTTGACTGTTTTTTGGCATTTTTTTATGTTGTTTAAATTACATGTAATATTTAGTTTTTTTAAACTTATGTTTTATTTGTTTAACTTTTACTACCATTTGTTTCATATAATTTATCTGTGTCTTTGTTTATTTTTTATTTTATGGTTTTGTTTTATTATTTTTTCATCCTAGTTTTACGACTTTCATCAAGATTTAAAAAATTTGTTTCTTTGAATATGTTCATTTTCATCATCAGGCCATCTGCATTCATCTTCATTTTACTCTTTTTCTCCATTCTTTTCCTTGTTTAATTCTGTATTTCTGTTTTTAGTTTTACATTGTTTCCTGTGATCATATTTTGTATCTGTGGATTAAAGCTGCCCTATAAATAAACTATAAATTGATTGAATGTCTACTATCATCTTTCTCTCAGAATATTTCGCTGGCGGTCCGTTCCCGACTCACCGTCCGGGTCGCCACACTCTGATCGCTCAGAGAGATGTGAATGAGCTGCCAGAGTCTCGTTCCCACCTCCATCTCCATCGCCACCACCATCAGCACCAGAACCAGCACCCAGCCCGGTCGGCCCGGCCCGAGTCTCGGCTTCAGCAGGAACTCAGCGCCCGGCGGAGCTTGGACCTGCTGGAGCAGCTGCACCAGGATGTGGAGCCGGACCACTTCGGCTGGCGTGTTGTACCCGGGGAATATGTGGTTACCATGGTGAGTGCTTTGTATGCCTGTTGCTGTGATCAATTCATAAATTGATCTCATGATCAATTAAATGAGCTCCATATTTTCCATTTTCTCTATGGGTTCAGTTATGTGTGCTTTTATTTTAGTTGTGTTTAGCAGGGGTCCCCAAAGTGGGTCCTCGAGGGCCGGCATCCTGCTTGTTTTAGTTCTCTCGCTGATTTGACGCACCTGGATCAAATGTTGGCTCTTTAGAGGCCAAAGGAGAACATTGACATTCTGAGAAGGTTGTCACTACAGGCAGGATGTCGGCCCTCGAGGACCCACTTTGGGGACCCCTGCTTTAGAGTATGTTCAATAGGTTCTCTGAACTCTGATTCAGAACCGCAAAGCATTCTGGGGGATGTAGGCAGAGGAAAGGCTTTAGCCAACAAAGCCAGGTTGGTGAAATCAACCAACTCCCTCATTCTTTGGTTACCTAGCAACAACTAGTTGAGTAACTTGTGCAGCAGCAGTTTAAAGTTTCACTGCTGTGCCTCATAGAAGCAGGAATTTATTGTGTCATTTATTTTTTATCGTTATAAATTAGAAGAATTTTGATTTATCCTCATAATAAATTACAATTAATGATGTTTTAAAAAAACCTGTCCGTGTCTTCAGGATCGTTAGTTTTATTATTTTCTTAATAATAACTTCAGTAAATGAAAAATAAATTTGAAAATATGCTGAAATGCGGTTAGTTTATGCAAATTAATGATATAAAAAATACATTTCTTCATGTAACCAGAGTTGTAAGATGTGTATTACAAATATGAATAATTTCCAAGACCAGTTTTTTGTTTGTGTGGCTATGAATGCCACACAGCTCCACACAAAAAAAAAAAAGTAAATTGTTCTTATTATAATTTTTATCATAGTAATAGTACCACTTAAGATCCATATTGCTCACCCCTATTGAAATAAAAGCCAGCTTTGGATAATATTTTCTGTGATTTATGTTTTTAGAAAACAATAAACGCTCTCTTTCAGGCTCCACTTTTAACCAGATTACTGATGCACCTGAAATCTGTAGCTGTCTTCTCATAGGTTGGTTGTTTTTTAAGGCGGTGATGTCGTCCTAGAAACATGTTAGAGAAGGTCAGAGGTCAGAGAGCAGAAGGCGAATGATTGATCACATGCTGCAGACTTTTCTCTATGTATGAAGCTGCAGTCTCTGTTGCCATAGCAATGCTAACAGCGAGCGAGCAGAGCCAGTTCCCTCCACAATGGGCGGTTGTGTAACTCTTAGATAAACAGCAGTGACCTTCAGAGACAGACAGAGACACGGGGGACACGTCTGGGAGACAGAGACGCGGTGAAGCAGGTGTTTCTCGCCGCATTCGTCCTGCTGGTGTCCCAGTTTTCCGATGCCGGGTCGGTCCGACTGCAGCTCACACGCTCTCATTCCATTCTGCTGGATGTCAGAGTTCTGCAGATTTTCCCGAAAGTTTTCTGAAGAAATCAGATGTTTGTCTTGCACAATTTCGACTCAAAAAATTTCTACAAACTTGGTTTGACTTTTTGTTAAATTATAAATCTAGATTCTCTTCCACTTGAGGCAAAAATATGGGGCTAATCTATGAACCACTAAAACATCAAACTCAGATTTTCATTCGGTGTTTTTCAAGCATCTTTTCTCCATAAACCTCACTAAGATGTCTGCAGAATAAATGCATTTAGAGTTACAGGGTGTTAGCATAACAACCGCCAGCAGATCCATAGTCTGCAGACAGAACAGTCGGAGGTGTCATGGACGCAGATGCATCGTGGGAGTGGCGACAATCTGCAGAAACCTCCTGTGGAATCTCAAAGACAGATGGGAATGCTAGCAGTCCGCAGACGGCAGTGTCTCTGTTTTCAATGTTCGTTAGGAAAATAAAAGCTGCTCTTTGCACAGATCGAGACTTCCTGTGTGGTCACGTGACCCAGCGTCCCTTCAGGCTGTCTCTCTGAAAGCATCCTTTAATGCGCTAAGACGTTTCCTTGCAAGCATTCAAGCTGAGAGAGACCCTGACATGTGGTCAGTAGGCCTGTCGCTATAAATAATAAATCAATTAATTGCAAGATGAATTAAAACTATCAACCTCATTTTAATTATCGGCTTCATTGTTTCTTCCGGCCTTTTTCTCTTTCTATTGATGACACTGAATGAAAAAAGACTCAACTCTGGTGCTCTCCGCTGTCCCGTCCTTCCTCATTTCCTTAGTGTGATGCCCAGCACAGCTCACGACATAATCTTACAGCTGTCAGCCGACTGTCGGCCCTTTTTCAAAACTTGAGAGACCACAGACTCGCTGACAGAAATCCCAGGTATAACGATTTGATCTGGTTCAATTGTGCTTTTTGGCACAATTGAACCATTGTTTGGTATCCAACAACGGGTACAAAATAATGGCTACAAGTCCAGTTAACTAATTTTAACTGGACTTTGATTAGTAGTAAAGCACTAATCAATGCTTTACTACAATCTACCTTCAAGGCATGTGGCTAGTGTCAGTCCTGACTGAATGGGTACCATTATAACCTATTTATGTCACGTTAACAAACGGTTTATCAACTGCCATAGGAATTTCGCTCCAATTCCTCCCCTTGTCATTTCTATATTCTTTGCACAAAATGTTGAATAAACATTAATATTTCCACATATCATCTCCAACGCCAGCTGGACTTCGGGCTGCGCTGTGTCAGCTGTTTGGGATTTCCCTCCATAATTTCCCTTCAGAAAGCAGGAAGGGGAATCCCAAACATTTGAGTAAGTTGCACTGCTGCATTTTAAGGTTTCGACTTATAATTTCTGATTAAAAAAATAACACTGGATAAAACAGGAAACGTTATTCAATGAGTTTGTTAGAATTTCAGATATTTAAAACAAAAAAATCCTAAAAGATAATTATCAAAATCGACTGATATCAAACGGTTATATCGTAATATTTTTTCAGCCATATTGTCCAGCTCCACCTTCATTTAAAAAAACTAAATTTTTTGTTGTTTATTTTGAAAGTAAAATATTTTCATATCAGTATCTTCATGTTTTATCCACAGTTTACCTCTGGAGGAGCTGAAGGAGTCGTCATCCGTTAAAAAGTTGTTTGAATCAGCTTCTCTGTCCTAGAGGCTTTAAAATGTTGCATTGATCCTCTGCTAATTGCTGACTAATTGATTGAACCCTCTCCACATCCCTGAGTGAACTTTGACCCCTTGCCCCGACCCCATTCCAGCCTTCTCCCCACTGAGCTGTTGGCTAATTACAGCCTATAACCACTAAAGTGTGTGTGGCTTGGACAGAAATAGTACCTGATCCCAACAGGAAGCACAGTGGGATAATGGCATTACCCGGGCGACGGCCAATCAGGTGGAGGGTTGAGCTGTGTCAGGCTCTAAGCCAATCAGAGATCAGGGAATGAGTAGATCAGGAAATGGAGCGAAAAGTCCCCGGTCGCTAAGTGACAGGCGGCTCGCCTCCTTTCATTCAGAAAAGCTTTGCGTGGTCGGCTTGGTAAGGCTGTTTATGTTGTTTATCTTTCTTTATTTTATCTTTTACCTCATTGTTTTTTGTTTTTTAATGTGAAGCCGTTTTATTATTTTTCTGTTTGTTTAAAAGTTTAAATGACTCCGGGGTCATTATCTGCTTACACAGAAATCAGTGGATTATTGCTGCCTGGAGATTTTACAGAGAAAATCTCAGAACAGAAAAACTTTAGACTATAAAGATTAGTTCAAACAAAAACCCAGGTGTAAACTGATTATTATTTTAAAATATTTGTAATATTATTGGATAATTTCTCTTGGTCAGGCTGTTTTTCTTTGAGTGAAACCAGCAACCAGCCACAGTCTGATAACATCGGCTCTGGGAGCTGCAGGTTTTGTTCCTCATATTGAATTAAGTGGCAGCAGAACATGTTGTTATTTTAGCCATTAGCAAACAGCCGCCCACTCTCCCACTCATACACACACACACACACACACACACACACACACACACACACACACACACACACACACACACACACACACACACACAGTCAGACACACAGGGATGTTGAAGCAGCCGGTGGGCTTCAGGTTGGTGGACAGAAAGCTGCAGAGGTCAGACTTCTTGTTTGTTTTCCTCTAATCTCGTTTTAAAAAGCAATCTGATATATTCTGAGTCTGTTCTGCTTTTATTCACTTAGAGGAAATGATAAATATCAGCTCAGTAGGTTTATGGATAAGTTCAGGACAAATAATAAAGGCAGAGATGATCTGCATCCTTTTTGGATCATTTAATATCACAAAGGACTCTTTGGAGTGGAATAAGTGTTACATTTTTGGTGCTAATTGAATATTTACCCAGTTGGACAGAATCTGAGGACAGCAGATGCTCAAAATGGACACTAATGATTTCTAAAAGTAGAGTTGGGTAGTAACTAGCTGCAGTTAATAACTTGCTAAATGTAGCTAATTTAAATACATTTAACTAGTTACTAAATATAGCTAGCTTAATAACTACCTACATTTAACTAGTTAGTTATTTACTAACTAACTGTTTTCTTTGTTTCAGTACTTGGCTGTGGGAGTGAGGAGGCTGAATATCAGTCACCTCCTGTGGTTCCGGGACGGCGTAGCGGCGTCGCTCGGCGTCGCTCCTCAACATGTTCACATCAACAAGCTGAATGTAAGTCTGCTCCTCTCCCAGTCCGTTTCGTCTCCGTATTTAACTCACTTCCTGTTGGATGGATGCTCCTTACAGGCCAGAAACGGCATCGAGCTCTTCGTCTCCTCTGAGAGGCGGGACATCTTTGAGCTCCGCCCTGCGAAGGAGATCGTCCAATCACTGAACCGTAGCGTTCTTCATCACCATTTGGCCGACTTCGGCATCACGGCAGTCAAACCGGAGGTAAATGTGTGAAATCCCAGAATTCTCAGCTCTTTTCTGGTGATGTTCCGACGTTCCTCCATGTTTCCTGTCCTTCTAGTGCTGCAGAAACATCCCAGACTCTTCCCCTTCGTCTCCGAAGAAAAACGTCCTGCAGGACGATCAGAGGGATCACGCATGGAGCAGAGATGGGCTCTACAATGTCGTCCTCTTCTTCACCTTCTTCCTCATCATCATCACCTGCCTAATGGTAAACAACACACACATGAACAGAGCTCCAGCTCAGTCTGTTGATTAACTACAGGATAAAAAAGTCAAAATTTTCCACTCTTAGACTTTGATTATGTTGAATATCAGTTAAGAAATCAACTTATTTCTTCTCCAAATAGTGTAAAAAACCTTCAATTTATGTTATGGTAGATCAATTTTCTTTTTTTAAATCTGATTAATAAGGTATGAAGAAGAATTTACCACCACTAAGCTTCAGTATCACTTCCTGTTCTTACCCATTCCTGTGCCTATATTTCTTTAAAAATATAAATAAACAGTATAAAACATATAGCATTTGGAGCTTCATTTTAGAATATTGCTTATAGATTAGATCATCAGAAAAGATTAAAAGTGCTTAGCAAAATAGACTTCTTAGAATTTCCTGGTCTTTTTCTGCTGTCTGTTGTTTGTGACAGAGTTATATGTCCAGATGAAAATTTTGTTTTTTGTTTTTAATTTGGAGAATAAAGTCATAATATTACGAAAATAATGTTGTAATATGATGAGAATAAAGTCATAATTTTATGAAAACTCCTCGAAGAAACTGTTAAAATGTAGAATGTTGAGGTTCATCTGAAATTATTCATCAGTTTTACAAATAAAGAAGTAATCTTTTAACACACCAGTAACTAATTATTGTGAGTTGCTGGACATCGATTGTGTCAAAGTTCTGGTTGGCATTAAGTAACAAAATGACACTTTCATTCATAAAAGATAAAAAAGAAATGTTGAAATGGGGAACAAGACAATAAGTGTAGAAATTAGACATGTAGAAGTAAAAAGAATAAGCATAAAAATAGATGTTTTTATTTATTAAATGAAATAAATAAAAATAAGAGGAATAAATCAAAAACATGATTATTAAATGTTACATAAATAAGCAAGAAATTGGAGAAAAAATTTAAATTAACATTAATATTGTGCTAGAATTGATAAATGCTAAGAAAATAAACATTTAAATAGATTTAAATGGCAATTTAGTAAATAATTAATAACCTGAGTTCTAAAGAGTAAATCCATTTGAAGTAAAATTTGTATATTTTCCATTCCTTCCTTTGTAGTTTGACACTTTGACCTCATGGGGGCGCCCCAACACACAGAGAAACCTCAAACACTTCCTTCAGTTTCTAGCAGGATCTCATCTGATTGCTTTTATCTATTCAATAAAATGTTTCCAACAACTTAAAATTGAATGGAAAAAAAAGTTAGGAGTTAAATAGAGATTTAAAGTTAATTTATATAAAAAATACAAACCTCTCTGTGCTTGAAGTCGTCACAAATGTCTCTAAATGTCAATACAAGCAAAAAATATGTTTCAAAATCAGCCCAAACTTCAAGGAAACTACATTTACACACACAATTAACACATTTTATTCATTCATATTAGAAATGTTTCCTAACTTTAATTAAAGTAAATTAAACACTTTTTGAGTTAGTAAAATAATAAAAACAAAGTTTGTCTATGTTTTATATTTTATACAAAAAATATAAAATTGAAAAGATTTGATTAAAAACATTTTCCTTAAAATATAAGAGCACTAAAATGTTACAACAATCCTTCACACATTATTCCTTATTAGTATTTATAGCTTATTAATGTTTGATAATATCTATACATTTTGTCTGTTTTATGTATTTTTTTTGTATTTCTTGTCACAAATATGTTCAGAAATAAATTTCTGAAATAACGACCTTCAAATAATTCATTATTAAAGAAAAAACTAAATTTGTAAATTTTTTTTTTTCACTTTGAATTGTCCTTGTTTATATTTTCTTAAAGATTTTTGGAATATTTATGAAAACAGATGTTTCCTCTCTTCATGCTAAAGTGGATAAAGTTTTATCTGATCACTTTAACCTTTAATCAGGTTATTTTTTCCTCAGGTTTTGTACCGAATGAAGCAGAAAGTTCCCGTTACTGAAAAGCAGCTCAAAGCTCCGCCCCCTGACCACGTCGTGAGCCTGACCCTCCCCCCCGACCCTCACAAGAGGTCAAAGGGCACCAAGGTCTGAGACACCAGATTTTTTATTTTGCTTGTTTTGTGAAATGTTTCTGTAGCGGCATTAGTAGCTGTTTTATTTCAGGTTGTGACATCAGAAAGCATGGTCCAATCTGAGCCCCCGCCAGCTGTAGCCACGCCCATTCACCAGCAGCAGCCAATCAGAGCCTGCCGCCGCCTCGCTCCTCCTGTCGTCCCTCTGCCCAGGTGAGTCGACCAAAGGAAGATTGTGACCTCGTAATAATAAATTCATAATTTTTTATATAAATATGTGAGAAAACATTAATACATTTTGAGTTAAATCCCTTAGATTCTTTTAGAGAAAACTTGGAAATTTTTGGGTAAAAAAAGTTTTAAATTTAATAGAAACACCCCACACCATAAATTTTTTGTATTACACCAATAAGTTTGCAAGAAAAATTCATAAATTTTGAAATCAATCTAGTAAATTTTATAAGAAAGTGTTTGACCTAGAAAAGTCTAAAATTTGTAAAGAAAAAAAACTTAAAAATTTTGAGATTAATGTCAGTTTCTAGTACATTTTTGAGCTCCAAAGGTAAATATTTTGGGGGAAAAACCTCGACTTTTGCAAATCAAAAATTTCCAAAAAGTTTTAGTTATTTTAAAGAAATTCACTCGTTTTTTTCCTCTAATGGCTGTGATACACAGGCAAAGCACGAGTTTGTCTTTGTTTTTGTGTTGTAGTTTAAGTCTCGTCCTGACCGCCATTTTTCTGTTGATTTTTTTGTAGCCCTGTCCCAATCATCAACACCGACAGCCACACCCCGCCAACGAGCGTCCCCCAGGTAACAGGCGCTAACGAGCTGAAACCTTGCCCCTCCCCCTTCAGGATGAAACCGGCTGCAGGCCTGCAGGAGAGGTGAGCGCACAGGAAGTGATTAATAAAGTCAGAAACTAAAATAAGTCCAAAATATTCCTTTAATCTGAGATCTTATCCTCCCCTAAATAAATTTATTTGTCATCATTTACAAGCTGTTTATCCAGTCAACTGAAATAAAAACTATATTAAATTTCTTAAATCTCCTTTTCAGATCCGCTTTATGGTTTATATTGAGACACATGATGGAGCAAAAATAATTGGGCTCGTTTATGGAACAAAATAATTAGAAAACAGGAAGAAATGTGGAAACGTTCATAATGTTTGGAGGGGAAAACCGTCCTAATGAGCCACCAGAACAATACCTTGTGTGTGTTTAGAGTACAGTGACCTCTGACCTCTGATTGTTGAAGCAGTCAGGTGTTCGATTCTGTTTGTGCTGCAGAACAGGCAACATGAGAAATTGTCTTTTTCATTTTTATCCCCCATTAACTCGATTTTTAGCAATTTCACTGAAAACAACAGAAGAATTAATAGTTTTTTTAAATAAATGTATTTTTAATGCTGAAACTTACTGTAGCTTGTAAGCAGGGCTGGATAATACTGCTTAAATATAACATCTCACATCCAATTTCAGACTTGTTTTTCTTCACTTTCTTTGCTAAATAACAATTTATAAATGACGTAAAATATTTCCAAAAGTGTTTTTTAGTTCATTATGCAACAGTTTTAGGACCAGACTGTGAGAATTTTTGTTTAATTATGAGAATAAAGTCATAATATTTGGAGAACAAAATAACACAATTTTACCTTTAAATTACAAGAAAACATTTGGATAATTTATTTTGTGTGTGTTAAAGGTTTTATAATATTACTACTCTATTCCCCAAGAAGTACAACTTTATTCTTTTCATTTTCTAAAAAATATCTTAGCCTGATATATTTTTGCCACATAATAAAATTGGTAAAAATCTGCTTTTTGTTTTAGATAAAAAAACAACTTAACTATCTTCTTTTGGATTTTGAGTTTTAAAACTGCATCATTTCTGCATACTATAAACTACCATGAAGCCACATATTGTAAAAGATTTCAATCTCTCATCTGAAACCGGGTCTGTTTCCTGAGTATTAATGACCTGTTCTGCTCCCATCATACTAACAATACGAGGCGTGTTTTTAAATAAGGATGCTCGGCTTATGTAAGGCTCATTGTTTAAATACTTTCATTCTTCTGCTCGGCTCTGAAGGAGAATCATGATGTTCTTGTTGGACTTCAGTTCGCAGGGCTTCCTTTAACCATTCTGCTTCTGATTTTAAATCCTGGTGAACTAAATGTGCTATAAAGCAGAAATGAGTTTTTTTCTCCAAAGGTAAAATTCTAAAGAGCTGATTAAGATGAAGAAGTTTGATGACCAGCAGCACATTATCTGTTGTTACTGTCACCATATTTATCAAATTTATTAGTTTTATACTTAAAACAGTTCATGACTTACAGAGAAATTTAAAAAGAAAAGCTCCAAAATTTACCTTTCAAATTCAAGAAGGTCCTGGGTTCGATTCCCAGCCCGGGGTCTCTCTGCACAGAGTTTGCATGTTCTCCCTGTGCGTGCGTGGGTTCTCTCCGGGTACTCCGGCTTCCTCCCACAGTCCAAAAACATGACTGTCAGGTTAATTGGTCTTTCCAAATTCTCCCCAGGTGTGAGTGTGTGTGTTCATGGTTGTATGGTTGTTTGTTCTGTCTGCTTCTGTGTTGCCCTGCGACAGGCTGGTGACCTGCCCAGGTGACCCCGCCTCTCGCCCGGAACACAGATGGAGATAGACACTAGCAACTCCCGACCCCACTAGGGGCAAGGATGGATGGATAGCACATTTCAGCAACGAGGCATTTCAAAGTGCTGTGCATCATAAAAACACCTCAAACGCAGCTTGAGATTGCAATTAATATTCAACCATTTCAGTTAAATACAGACAGGCAAGAATATTGCAAAAGTAAACATGTCAGGTATAAAAACTACATGTTGAACCTTTTCTTTAGATTAGTTTTTTTTGTTTTAGTCCCATTCATCATTAGTTTAGATTAGATTAAAACATTTTTTTTCTTTGAAAATTCAAACAAGGTCAGGTGTATCAGCAGAAATATGTAAATGTTTGAATTTTAGACACTAATCTTTATTTCAGTGACTTCTGTAGTGTCAGAATTATTCAGTTGTTTGAACAGGGATCTTTCTAAAAGCCCATATTTCTAAATCTAGAGATAAAACACCAAAAATACCTGGATGGTTGAGGTTCATTACATATTAAAGGTTCAGAGGCCCTGAATGTTTCTGGAGACGCTGAAGGAAGCTTTGTTTGTGAGCTTAAAGTTAAACCAACAGTTGCTACTCAGACGCTGCATTTCCATCTGCTGTATCTTTAGCAGCTCTTAAAAACCTGTTTGCGACTCATTTCCTGATGCTAGGTAGTTTCACATCTGTAAAGAAAACATCTTTATCGACGCCTCAGCTCGGTGCTGAGCTCTTTATTTAATCTGCTGCTCCGGTCTCTTCCTCTGAGAAGCAACGAACCTGAACGCCGGATGCCATTTTGTTCTGATTGTTTGATTGGATGGGCGGGTGCAGCAGGGAGAACACTTGGTGTTTCTTAAGGTAACAAAAGGAAGGAAGATTTGAGGCTCAGGAGTGAGAACAGGATGTTTTTCTGGTGTCTGTCAGCGTGTGTGTTGTCCACTCTGGATGCCAGCCAATCAGCAATCAAACAAATTGGAAGCAACGGCATCCTGGAGGGGAAACCGGCCAACACGTAGCCAGACAAAGACCGGGTCAGCCCACTCATGTTAACCCACCAAAGTATTCTGTTGTATTTTACATAATTTGTTCTTTACAGTAGGAAAAAGCTGCTAAAACTAGAGGAGGTCAGTGTCAGGGGCTCACCACAAATAATTAACCTCTGGACAAACGTGGTCCCACTTATTATAAAAGGTTAGTGACAAAGAGATGGATACTTTGTGTTGTTCTCAACATTTTCAGTAATAATTTTAGTTTAATTACAAATAGAAAGTCTCCATCTGCATCAAACTCCTGTGCTGGTTGGGCAAAATTGGTATCATACAATTCATTCTTGAATTGTAATTGAGGGACACATAAAATCAGTGCAAAATTAAATAAAATAAAACACAAGTCTATGTATTGACTGAGTATCATGTCAAAAAACAAGTATGTGGATATGCTGGTGCTTTATTTGTCACAGACTGTAATGTGTGGGAATTGTCTTTAATGTCTTTCAGTGGGGTTTTCGTGTGAATAAAAAAATTTATTCAGTTTTCCAGATATCTGATATGTGTGGACTGAGTATTTTTATGGAGTTTGAAGCTAATCTCGACAGAGCTTAAGAGTTGTAATTTCCTTTGCTTGATGTTCTCATGAACAGAAATATTAAGCTTTAACCTCACTGAAGTGAAAGAACCTCCATCTATCGTCAGTTTGATCAAGTTTCCTTTTGAGCCACAAATCCTAAAAGCCTTAAACTTCCAATAAAACTCAGGAAGGAAGCGTTAGACTTTCCACTCCTGACACTAATCTCTGTGTCCTCTCCCATCCTTCCTGCGCAGACGAGGCTCTAACGTGTCCCTGGTGCTGGACATGTCGGCTCTCGGGTCGGTGGAGCCCCTCAATGTTTCCGTGGTAACCCCCAGAGAGGCGGCGGCCCGAGAGTACCTGCTGTCGGCCGGACGACCGCTGACACGGCAACAGCTTCGTGACGTCGTGAGCAACACGCACAAGCTGCACGTTGAATTCGCTGTGAGTTTGTTTAAACGGTTTATTACTCCACAGAAACACATTTTAGATGTGCTGGTGAAGACTTCACAATGTTTGCACAAATGTAGACGTATTAGAAGAGCCTTTTGCCTTCACTGAAGGATAAATTAAGTTATTTAAATTTCTTTAAACCTTTTCCATGTCAGGACGAGTGCTGAAAAGCATGAACACAATCGCTTTAAAGGGGAATCATTATGCAAAATTCTGAGCTTGCATGTTTTTATACTCCAATTTGGACCTCAACTGCTTCTTGAAACAGTCCAAGCACTTAAAAAACCACAGTTAATGTTTGTTGGTGTCTGAAAAATGAGACGCTTCAAAACTTCACAATTGTCAAGTTGAAGGGCGCTGCTCCATTACCTAGCAACCCCAGCGGAGTTCTGCCTGTTACCTAGCAACCCCAGCGGAGTTCCGCCTGTTACCTAGCAACCCCAGCTGAATTCCGCCTGTTTCCTAGCAACCCCAGCAGAGTTCTCCCTGTTACCTAGCAACCCCAGCTGAATTCCGCCTGTTTCCTAGCAACCCCAGCAGAGTTCTCCCTGTTTCCTAGCAACCCCAGCAGAGTTCTCCCTGTTACCTAGCAACCCCAGCAGAGTTCTCCCTGTTACCGAGGAACCCTAGCAGAGGTCCAACATGTTTGGTCAGCTGGAATGTAAACGTTGAGTTGGGGGGTGTGGCCAGCAGCAGCTTATTTGGATTTAAAGTGACAAGATGCCCTAAAACAGCTCATTCTGAACTGAGCAGACTAAAATCTAATTATTTAAGAATTATTTTGTGCAAGAAATGTAATGAACATGTCTTGTATCACCCACAGATCTATCCCAACCTGTTCAAGGCAGCTTAATTGGCCAAAATCCAAAGAAGAATTAAACAAAGCCCAGAAAGTAGAGCTGCTTGAAGAGGAAATTTCTATGTCTTGTGCAGACATAGAAATTTCTTGCGTCCCTTTTTTTACAAACTGTTTTTGGCCTTTTCAATTTTGTGGTTTTCCACAGCAAATGCATAAAAACGAGTCCAGCTTTCCTTCCCAATCAGTCCAGTTTGTACGAACCAGAAGATATGATTCCAGAGGCCATCAGGTTCAGATTGTCTCGTCGTAAACATGATCGATCAGTATCAGTGATGTTCAGTTTATCTTGAAGGTAACATGTTTTGTCATTAATGTCCGTCTTTCCTCCCATCTTAGGAAATCCCGATGAATTTTATTGACCCTAAGGAACTGGATATCCCAAACCACAGCACTAAGAACAGATATAAGACCATTCTGCCCAGTAAGTCCTCCATGTTGCTAAGAAGCAGCAACTCTTCCAAAACATCTCATTGCCTGTTGAACCAAGAAGTTGTAAAAGGTTAACCTTCTCAAAGACGAGGAATATTTCACCCTTCCTCTTCCAATAATTTTACTCTGAGCACAGTCCGTTCTCACAGTCGGACGCTAACTCTGATTAAAACGTTACATAATGAACAATTTCTGGATTGTGCACTCATGTTTTGTAGGGTGGGAGGTGAGATTATCAAAAACAGAAGTGTTCCTTCCTGCAGCCAATCAGGAGAAAGGAATGTTCTCCTAAAGCTGCTGTCAATCAAACCTCTTCCTGCGCTCCACTTTCTGTTTTCTTTGTAAAGTGTTCATTGTGCTGTGCAGGTCTGTGGTTAGTCCTAACAGGTCTGCTGATCTGCTTCGACGGATCTGTCAAATCCAGAGTAATCCCTGCTAATCGATCCTAAGCACTTTATCTGGGTCAGGAGTTCAGGGTTTAAAGGAGGCGTCTCCTAATTACGGCTTTGATCTTCCACAGTGACATTTAAACTTTAAACACCTTTACTGGTCACTAATTATGTAAAATCAACACAATAAATCAGTTGAACTGAGACAGCAACATGCTGATCCAGTTTTCAGCTTTGCTTACATTTGGAGTTCCTCAAGGCTCCGTTCTAATCCTGTCAGTTTTTATTGTAAATGTATATTTTCTACAGATTTATTAAACATACTTATGCCCAACAAGGGGGCAGCATGTTGGGCTAAAGTTAAGCTAAATATGTTAGCTTTAAAGTACAAATCTTAGCAAACAGATTTAGCTCTGTTTGCTAAATCTGTTACTACTAGACCGTGCTCTTTTTTTTTCTCACCTCTTCTTCTTGTGTCTTAGATCCTCACTCCAGAGTGATCCTGAAGTCAAAGAGCTGCAATGATCTACTGAGTTCCTACATCAATGCCAACTACATAAGGGTGAGTAGCAGCTGTCATCCACAAAATTTCAGCCAGTTGGTGTAAAGTTTTAATAAACTTTTTTCTGTATTTATCTAATTATGTATTTTATTGATTATTTCCAAACCTTAAGCTCTTTGGACACAACCATGAATAATTATGACATTTTTTGCACCTCCTATCCATTTGCAAGCAATTTTCAGTGACAAAAAAGTTGAATTTTACAGACCATATCTGAAGTAGAGATTTTCAAAACTCAGTTTTGTAATTGATCTGGAAATATTAATTGTAGATCTGAAGATTTATTGAAAGGAAAAAAGGAACCATTTAGTAGCAGCATGTAGCTTCAGTTATTACAGTAAAAAACTAGAGATCAGGTCAGAAATCTGGGTTTGAAGATTCAGAGACACATAAAGACAGTTACAAAGACAGACTTTTACCACCTGAAGAACATTTCCTGGATTAAAGGATTTATGTCTCAGAAAGACCCACAGAAACTCATCCATGCATTTTTTTAAATTACATTCGTTACTGCAACAGAATCTCCAGGTGTGACTGAACAAATCTGAACTCTGCTGATGGTGTTCTGACTAAAACACTCTGTAGGTCACAGAATAAACTTTTTCGGGAAGTTTATAAGTCACTGAATGATGTAACATCATAACACATTAAAGATCTGCATTTCCAGAACCAGAACCAAACATATAAGTTCTGTGTGCCACAAATCTCGAACAAACTCCCATAAAACCACAAAACAGCAGAAACACTGAATTCATCACTAAAATCCATCTGTTTAGGGTTGCTTTTGATTAATTATGACTGGAAAATTGATTAATTTTAGTCTGGATTTCATCCTCTTATTACTTTTCTTTATTGTGCCACTGCATTATAGTGTTTCTTGCTTGTGGTTTTAGTTTTTTTATCACATAAAAGTGTGTTACAAATAGCTGATATACTTTTACCAAACAGAACAAACCACAAGAATCTGAATATTTGCATTGAGCTTTAGGTTGTTGTGTCTGCGTCTCTGGGATGTTTTGTCTGTTTTTCTCCATCAGTTGAGAAGGAAAATGAAAACCCAGAACGTGAAGGACTCTGTCATTAACCTGGAATGTCTGCAGCGTTTCTTTGTTCTTCTGGATTCCTTGTGTTGAAACGTTGTGAAAGTGAACTCCCGGTGCAGTCTGTAATGTCGCTCTCAGACTCTCACACAATGGAGCGCCTTCCTGTCAGGAAACTCTGCAGAAACAGTTTAAACTGTCACACTTGAACTCTTTGTCCTACTGTACATAATATCTCTGAAGCTGACTGGGAGAAAACATTCCCGGGGGTGGGCTCAAAAACATGAGGCACTTTGTATTTATGTGAATAAATGTTAAAAAAATGTAAGATTTCAGAGTAAAACTGCAGTGGCTCTTCTTTTAGGGTTATCTAGGTGACCTGAGGGCCTTCATCGCCACTCAGGGCCCCATGGTGAACACGGTGAACGACTTCTGGCAGATGGCATGGCAGGAGGAGTCGCCCGTCATCGTCATGATCACCAAGCTGAAGGAGAAGAACGAGGTAATCCGAACAGGAGGAGGACAATCCCTTCGTCATCCATCCATTTAGTTCACTACCAAACAATGACAAGTGATCATTTTTTAATCAGATACAAAATACCAATAATTAAAATAAAATAGTGTAAACATGACATGTTTAGGCTCATAATACATTTGAAGGTAAAGTTGGGACGTAAACAGTATTCAGGTGGGGGAAAAAGAATAAAGAGCAACTTAAATTATATTTATTGTGCACAACTGTACTAAGAAGTAATAATACCAAACTATGTTTGCATCAGAGTCCAGTGAGTCTTTGGCGACATTAAAACACCAGATCAATTCAGATCTTTGTGCTGAAATGCAATAAAAAATTTTAAAGCGACCCAAAATGTAGACGCCACACAGCAGCGCTTTGTTTACAGGAGAATCCAGTAGGTTCTGTTTACTGAACTTACTGGATTCAGTAAGTGGATTCCAATTACTGAATCCACTCCAGTAATTGGGAGTGGATTCAGATATAAACAGTAATTCAGTTTATATCTGAATTACTGCGTCTGGCTGGACATTCAAACGATGTACAGGTCTGACCTGTGCATCAGATCTGAGTGCGCTCTGTGTGTCTGCAGAAGTGTGTCTTGTACTGGCCGGAGAAGAGAGGGATCTACGGCAAGGTGGAGGTTCTGGTGAACGGCATCAGGGAGTGTGAGCACTACGTAACCCGCAGCCTCACGCTAAAGGTCGGCCCTCCTTTGCCCTGCAGAATGATAATGAACCCGACTTAAAGTTCAGTTCTGACCTCTCCTGTGTCTCTGAGCAGTGCGGGAATCAAACCCGCATCCTGCAGCATTACTGGTACACATCGTGGCCCGACCACAAAACCCCGGACTCGGCGCTGCCGTTGCTGCAGCTCATGGCTGATGTTGAGGCTGAGAGACGCACCGCCGCCTGCGTGGGGCCCGTCATCGTCCACTGCAGGTACTGACACAAGTTTCGCTCCCCCTGCCGATAAAATGTCTGAAAACACTCAACCTGTGTGTTCCTGTGTTTGCAGTGCTGGGATTGGCCGGACGGGATGCTTCATCGCCACGACGATAGGCTGCCGGCAGCTGCAGGTGGAGGGGGTGGTGGACATGCTAAACATCACCTGCCAGCTCCGAACCGACAGGTAAAAACAGCTTAAAGCTCTCAGACGTTAGAAAGCTCCTTATCTTGAGTCACTGGTTGCAATATGACCATCAGCGCCCTCTACTGGATGGCAGCCAAACTACAACACTAAAAGAAGGTCGAAGCGAAATCTAATAAGCCAGTAATTGGGAGTGGATTCTTTATTTCTGCTTCAAATAACAAACTTTATATTTACTAGTTTCATTAATAAGTGCCTTAATTGAGAGTGATTAAAAAAAATCAACCTGTAAAGTGTGATGTTATATGTGATGCAGTGCAAAAAAATAAGGAAAAAGACGAGCATAAAATAAAGTCAGTCTTGCTTTAATGTAGCATTTTAGGTTAATTAAATAAATAGTGACCAGTGTTTTGTGTTCCCTCTTGTGTAGAGGTGGTATGATCCAAACAGGTGAGCAGTACGAGTTCGTGCATCACGCCCTGAGTCTGTACGAGGCGCGGCTGCCAGCTGAATCCGGCCAGTGAGCGCTCGCCGCCGTCCGACCTCGGCTGTTAACGGAAACGGCTCATGAGCTTTGGAAGTTCTCTGCCAGCAGGGGGAGACTCTGAGACGCTGAAGGGTGATTATAGTGAGCAGAGACTGGAGAAGAAAAGAGGGGAAGGTAAACTTCAACACTCGAGATGTACCCTTTCTTCTTCTTCTTCTTTTTGTTTTTTTTTGGGCGATCAGTGGCACTCGATGGACTTCTGTTGCCCAGACGACTGGGATGGTTTTTAAAAAAACTGACTGGATACGTCTCTCTGTCTAACATGGATTTTAAATTCTTTTGTAATGTGATGTTCTTCTCAGAAATCTATTGGAAAATGACTGTTACTTGGTTTAGTTTTAGCTACTGTGGAAATATATATCCCTGTTTGTGCGATTTACTCTGGAATTTCATCACATGGAAAACGTCTTGTTTAACAACAGGGTTTACATTGAGAAATGTTTTACATTCTTGGCATCTTTAATCAAGTTTAAGTTCATTCCCTTTTAAAAATCCAAGTGGGAAATCCACAGAATATTATCCAAAACACATTCAGGATTTTATAATCAGTAAGTTGCCAGACAATCCAAACCATCTTTAAACCATCTGAAAATATAGAATGAGTTAAAATGTTTTTCTGTTTAAATTACTAAATTCATTTTTCAGTCATGTTTTATTTGTTTTTTTTATGACAAACTGACAAAAAGCAGGAGGCACCCAGATGGAAAAAGCTGCCTCCAAAAAGCTAAATAGCTTTTTTTGTGTCCTTCATTTGCACATTTCACTCCAGTTTGCTGGATGAAATTCATATTATAGGTCTTAAAAACAATTCATTATTGTTTTAAAAAGCATTCAAAAGCCTGAAATTATAGTTGGTGAAACATGCAGAAGCCTTGAAAATCCACACAGTTACTACATTTTCAAAATTACTGATATTTACTGGCTCTCGAATGGCTCTAACATTAGAGTAAAAGCAGTGTTTCCAAAATGTCAAATTGGTTTTATAACATCATTAATTGGAACGTTTTGAGACAATAAATCAAAATTCTTGTCACGATGAGGGATTTTTACAATAAATGAGTGAAATACGATAAATGCTTCAAGTGAAGAATTCGACTGCAGTAGCAATCATTCAACCTATGGGGGGCAGCAGTGAGACGATTTTATGCAAAATATTCAACAAAAAAAAAACAAATTTGCACAAAAAAAAAGGTCAAAATTTTAAGAAAGATATAAAGTTCAAACCCCAAGTAACCAATTTGGACAATTTAACATAAAAAATATGTTTATTTGCGAGTTAGTTACACTAATTTTAATAAAATACAAAATAACCCATTTTTCTCAGCCTTCCCTACAATCTCGATATTAAGGCTCCTTTCAACAACAAGTGTATTTTAATGCAACTTTTACAGCAGGACTTACTGACGTCTGCTCATATTTAAGAAAAAAAAGAACTGAGTTGAATATATCATTTATAGAATAGAATATTGGCTGGTGCTACCCAAGAATTTAAACCAGTTTAGCACTGGAAACGGTTTATTGTATTACATGTGAACCAAATTAAACTGTTTCTCCTGGGTTCTGAACTTTAGTTTTTGTCAGTTAGTTAGAATAAAAATAATAATCCAGTTTAATCTACTGGTTGTGAGCGCCTACATGGAGCTTTTTTCAGCCATAAAATAAATGTTTAAAGCTCCCAGCTGGATAAAAAGCTTCTGGTGCAAAGAAACCAATTAGTTGAATTTAGCTTTAGTAGCTCCGTGTTGTATGCTTTAACGTTGAAGCAAATAGTTGCTGTAGATGACACGCCTTTCTGATGCAATATTTAGTTAAAACAATTGCTAATAATGTTTGTAAACTATTTACATTTTTACTCTGTAATAAATGCAGTCTGAGAGCCAGACTGCATTGGTTAAAAATAAAATAAACATTGAAACGTTTGATGGTAGAAAGGAGATGTTTAACAAAACAAAATGTATAGATCTCATAAAAAGGTTTGGTTTTGTTTTCCTCTAATTTTCAGACATATAACGGAAATATTAATTACTATTATTATATTATTAGAAAGTAGCTGCTTCACTTTAGTTTTTTATCAGCTGGTTTTATCCCAGTCATGTTTATTCATCAAAAACATGAGATTTCATTTGTTATTTTATGTAATAAATCCAGAAAAAAGTAAAATAAAATACACTTAAATAAAAAAAAGACAATATATATATATTTTGATCAACTTTTCCGTGTTTAATTCTTGAAAATGTTATCTTAAGAATTTAAAGCTGTGCTCTCTAGACTTGTTGTTGGCAACATTATCAAAAAAATACTATTAAAATATATAGTTTAATAAAAATCTTTACAGTCCAATGGTAATAGTAACCCTGCTTTATACCAAAAAATGTGAAATAATCTTAAGCAATGGTGCAGGATTCTCATCAGTGTGCTGTTGTACATTTTATGTGATACATTATTTTGTTGCGTCAAAGTAATATCTTTATTTTTAAACATATTTCTTAACTTTTTTAAATCTGCAAACCTAATTTTCCTTGATTAGGTCAGCAAGAGCCAAGTGGAAACCCATATTTATTAAAGTCAGATAAAAAAATGCATAAAAACAAATAAATATGATCCAGAGTGTTTCAATCAAGAAATGAATTGTGCATTTTAGAGCAGATTGTGATGAAGCTGAAATATTGAGGTGTTTTGTGTTTGTTTCGTGGAACTTAGATTTCTAATGTAATGCCAGTAACGAAGAACATGAGCTACTCTAGCGTCTGATTGGCTCTCTGTGTGAACGGGACCACTTGTACAGTACCTGTACATATAAGTGCTTTTAAACTTGTGTGTGGAGTTGAACTGCAGTCCATTTGCCACAAACACAAGTGTCTTGCTGCTAAAACTGGGATTGTTGGGACTGAATTGGACAGACTGCAAAGATGGAAAAACTTTTCAAGACTTTTTCTATGTACAGATATATTTTTATTTACTTCTTTCATTATGACACAATCATGGGACATGAAACGTTGGACTAAAAACCCAGCCTGCCTCCTGGGAACACCATCACTCTCTCTTTTCACTGTGGGCTCAGTCAGGGATCGGATGGAAATTCAGACGTTGGATTAACCGCCCTGACCGAAGTGAGAGTGAGTTCATTTCAGCGCCCCCTACAGGAGCTGGTACAACAACACACACTGCCTCTGACGTAGTATTGTGTCTGTATACTAGGATGTGGTACATGTTGTGTACTTGAGGTTAAAGGGACCCTACATGGTTTGAGTTGGAAGAGAGAAACGTCGTTAACGTAAATGTTAACGAGTTAGCATATTTTTAAAATTTTAAGTCAACTTTTCCCAAACTGCATTTGGATTATCACAACAACAAGAAGCATTTAGGTTCCAGGTTTTATGATAAAAGGAAAGACAATTAGCTGACCTAAGAATGAGTTCACCACTCTTACATAATAAATCTAGCTTCTAAAACATTCTCTGTAGTATTTTTGAGCATTTAAAAAAACTAATTAACCACCTTTAAAGATAATTAAATGACACTGCAGCTAGCTAAAATGGTGTGAGCTAATCCTGAATAAAAGCTGGTTAGAACATAATTCTACCTTACAAGTGGGTTATAACTTTGTGGTCGACTGTTACCTTTATGATAAATGCATTTGATTTCTAGCAGCCAGATAACTTGGGGTCCCTTTAAACCATTCAGACACAACGAATCATCGGTCTGAGTACACTTGATGTTGATTAGTGCACAACGGTCTAACTAATATACGTATAAAACATGACTTACAATGTACTACAAGCTAACTTGAATGTTGTTAATGGTCCAGAACATTAGCCACTGAGTAGTGGTGTAACCGTATCTACTCTACCCTCATATATACCGTTACGTGTAATCTGTGCAATAAATACGCTGAAGAGAAAAACTGTGGCGTCTTCACAACACAATGGCTTCAACAACGAGACTCCACTCCTGCGGGTTTTATTTTTATTCATTTTGTTATTGCTGACTTTACATTAGAGGAAAGATGGTCAAAGTGAGGAGCGAGGGCCGTTTCTGGGCCCTGGGTTCATTCAGTGTGACCCTCTCGATCACAATTAGAGAATAAATTATGACAAAACTATGACTTTCAAGTTGAAATGTACTTAGATGCAACACAAAGTGATCATCATGTTTTTTTCTGTTGAGATGGTAACTAGGACCACATTTTCTCAAATTCACCCAAAATCTGCTTTTAATTGATGTATTAAAACTTTTCTAAACACAGCGAGTGTTTTTAAATGAAGATCGCTGTAGTTTCTGTTTTTATTGGAGAGAACAGACAAAATATTTTCTTCTTTTTTTTAACTGAGTCTAAAATAAAAAGAAAATTAAAAGGTTTTCAATTAACAAGTAAAAACACTGAACATTTTGGACTTTTGATTCATTTCTGACAAAAAAAAAAGATTATTTGTTTAATCAAAATAGTTTATGCTCAGTTAAATAGGTCAAATAAAATCACATTTTTTGTGATCTTAGTTTTCAAAATGATATTTTTTTGGCCCAGGAGACAAAAAGTTGGACATTAGACATTAGAGGGTCGGAGCAAGTTGGTAAATTGTTTCTTTAGCTTTGCTTTTGTGAAGCAGAGCAGCTTTTATTCCTAGAAACAGTAGAGAAAAAGGGCAGCAGGAAGGAAGGAAAGAGGTGTGGATGACTAAACGCAGCTAAAATCAGCTGAAACAAAAAGAGTTTGGCCTTTAACCTGCAACTATGGTTAACAAAAGAGTTTACTCCAACATTTGTGACTTAAATTAAGTGTCAGCTTGCAGCCAACACATTTATGACTCATTGAGTTGTAACAATGAGAGCTGTGCTGATGTATTTAAAATATGTTGAACGAGTCTGTAATAAAACAATCTCAGGATAATGTTCAAAGGAAATTAAAGTATTTTTACTTTACTGGTTGAATCAAAATAGAGACTTTGAGTGCAAATCGTTGAGCTTAGCAGAGGAGGTAGGATTATTATTTATGCAATAAATGCTACAGATTTTAGCCAAAATTTCTTATTCTCATTAAAAATATTTTACACATTTTGTCCCACTACAGATGCATTTTTCTTTAGAGAATTGTACATTTATATAAAGAAATAAAACATGGAAAAAAACTTAAAATTTATTGATATTTTTATATGGAGCTGCAACTAACAATTATTTTATTTCTGCATCAAATATATTGATGATTAATCAATAAATCGGACAAAAGTAAATGACACATTCTAGATAAATTGTCTTTTTTATACAATACTTAAAATACATTAATGATGTAAATAAATATTTCACTTCCTATTTTAAATAACAAAATAAACATTTTACTGCTGAAAATGAATTGATGAAGCATTCCTTCAATTGATCTGAATCGGTGAAGAAAAAATATGACACATATTTACAAACAAAAGTGTCTTTTAGATGCAAAATGTGTAAATATCTTTATTTATACTCTAGATAACAATTAATAGTTGGCGATTATTCCAATAATGGCAATCGGATTAATCATTATTTATCGATTACTAAATTGGTTTACAATATTTCAGTAATCATGATTAATCTGATGAATCATAATCAATCTATTCATAAATTACTTGTGATTACTAAATTAGTTAAGTATTTTAATAATCATGATTAATGAGATCAATCATAATTAAACAATCACCAAATTAGTTGATGATCATTTCAATAATTGATGAATTGTTCAGTCTTAGTCTCATGTGTTGATCCTTATGCTTCTAATATGAAGTATCAGTGAATTGTGAATTATATGTTAAACCTTATATTTATATAGAATTGTTCTTGCAATCTTTTCTGTCTTAAACTTTCAAAATGCTGAGTAATGATGCTCCATTTATGAGCATCTGATGGTTAATTGTTTCTACATAAAGTAGGAATAAATGTTCTAATTTTATTCTCTAGAAATGGCCATTTTTATCCGTCGCTCTATTTTTATCCTCTACCTCTGTTGTTGGAGCAGCTAGGTGCGCCGCGGCGGTGGCAGCAGGACCTATTATTAGTCTGGAGTGTAGCCTTTGCAGCGACTCAGAGTGAGGAAGTCCGTTAGAGTCGGAGCGTCGACACCTTGGACAGACAGACAGACAGGAAGAGCGAGGCGTACCGCTGCTGAGAGGAAAAGGTCCAGTCTGAGGAGCTCTGAGCCCAGGATGGACACCAAAAGTTTCCCTTTGCACAATTAACTCGAAATAAGGAATTACTTTGTTTCGCAGGACACTTTGTGCTTGTTTCCAGCGAAGACGGCAAACGGAGGGAGTATCGGTCTTTAAAACTCTCGGACCTCAGGATTATGGTGGTGCATGCTCCGGCTGCGGATCTGAAGGACGATCAAAATGCTGAAATGTAAAGCTGGAAGTTTCTCCTGCTGCCTGGGGTTCGCCTCGCTGCTGCTGCTCCAGGTCAGTCCAGACAACCAGGCCCACATTTTACCCAATTCTTTCTGCTGATTTAGGGGAAAATGTGTCAAATTTTACAAGACGGGCTAAAGTAGAACCAGTTTCTATTGCTGCTATTCCTTTTACCTCTGATTGAATTCAAAGAGGGTTTTTCTCAACTTTCTCAAAGTAAAAAATCTCTCCTAGGTAGAAGATAAAGATGAGTCACTTATTTTCCTTTTCTTATCTTGGCTAAAAACTCTGAGAGAAATAATGTTTCATTACATCTGATCACGTCTTTAGAAGAAAACATTTGAGATTGCGTTTTCTTGTTTAGAAACTTTGTTTGAAAGGCGCTTTCTGGCTTTTATTCTTTTATTCTGGGTCATAAAATCTGTTATTTGCACCAAAGCATCAACTTGACAAGTAAATGGAAATAAAACATCTTCCTTTTCTAATAAAAAGACCAAAAATGGCCCCATTAAAATGCTTCAAATCACAAAGTCTGATGTCTGAATCAGAATTTAACTCATTAGTGGGAAATATTTCAGGAAAGTTTTAGAGGAAACTAAAGTTTGTGTTTTATCATATTTTGGGGTTTTTATAACGATGAAGATAATTTAAAACTTCTTTGCTGTTTATGAAATGATGCAAACACACATGCAGCCTATTAAAAACACAGTTATTTGAAATCCAACATATCAATGACATGTTTCCTAATACACTAATGAGTTAATCAATTAATCGCATGATAAATTAAAACAAACTCAATAATTTCCATTTACATAATTTATTGTTTTTCTTTTTCCACACAAAACTGGATGATAAAGATTTTCACTCTGGCTTCTTTTATAAAGGTTAATTTTGTTTACAGACACTTTATAATTCATTTTATTTGTTATTTTGTTTATTTATTCTGCATGTTTAAAAGGTCTTAACATTCCAGTGTTAAATGTTCATTAGAAGGTAAAGTTTATTGATCTTTGAGAATGCTGTCTTGCTTTGTTGTGCTATTATTACTTAAAATTGTCTCAAAACAACAATATTGTCGTTTATCGCAATAACTTCTGAAACAATTTATATGATGACCTAGTTAGATGAAGAATGAGCTTTTTTAATCTCTAACCTGCAAACAGTCACTGCATTAAATGATATTTTTGAGTTTATAGCTATTTGCTGCTCTGACGGAAACTAGATTTAGGATTCATTGTGATAACAATAATACAATATTATACTCCTTGTAGCTCATTTCTTTATTTAAAACTGCAAACAGGAAACATCCTGTTAGCAAATGTCCATTAAGTTTCTCTTTTCATGTTTTGAAGTTTTGCTACAAATGAATCCTCTTTCTTCCAGAGGAGTTGAAGTTGTTGCCTGATTCTGCAGATTGAAGCTGCACCAGTTTGGCATTCGGTATTCTGTTATCCAGCTTGATTTTCCTCTGGATCACTTCCTTCTCTTCCCGTCTCTGTGCTGAACGCTCCGCTGTCGTCTCTGAACTCCCTGAACTTCGTTATCTGCCAACCAACAGGCGGCCGCTCGACCCAAAACCTGATGGCGGCGAGCGGCCATCTTTAAATAACTGCAATTGATTATCTGTTGCAACAAGTTGCTTGATGCTCCGCAAAGGAAGAAACTTTAATTTATCCCAATTTATGCATCATGTTCAGATGTTAGACATGTTTTTCACTTTGGACAGGATTTGTCCTTTTTTCACTTTATTCTCTTTCCCTCTTTTTTTTCTTCTTGTTTTCACTTTTAATCCTTTTTTTATTTTTCCTTTTCATCTTGTTTCTCTTCTTTCTCCCTTCTTTCTTTTTCTATTCCTTTTTTCTTTCTTCCTCTTTTCTTTCTTGACTTTATTCTTTTTATTTTCCCTTTTATCTTTTCCTGATTTTTATTTTTTCCTTTTCGCCTCCTTTTTCTACTTTCCCCTTTTCTCCTTTCTTTGAACAAATATACTGCTCAAAAAAATAAAGGGAACACTCAACACAATATAACTCCAAGTAAATCAAACTTCTGTGAAATCAAACTGTGCACTTAGAAAGCAACACTGATTGACAATCAATATCACCTGCTGTTGTGCAAATGGAATAGACAAGAGGTGGAAATTATTTTCATATTTATTTCATTCATTCTGATCTAGGATGTGTTATTAGAGTGTTCCCTTTATTTTTTTTGAGCAGTGTATTTAGTATTTTTTATTAATATTTTGAAAGTTTTATGTTTAATGATTTTCTCCTGTTTAAACAAAAACAATATCCATAAATTGAAGCTGGCATCTTTTTAAAGATCTTTAAGTCTTTTAACCTTTGAGGTGGAACCTCCACATTTTTTCCAGCAAATCAATCAATTTATCAATAATTGAGCAGAACACTTCACATACAAACTAACAAAGTGCTTTGAAGCAGGTCACTTATAGAAATGATCAAACTAAGTATAGAAACTCAAGAAAACAATAGACAGAAAAAATATAAATAGCTATAAAATTCAAGTACTTGCTTAA